GGAATGTGAAGTTATTTGTTCAGCCTAGGCTCCTGCACTCATAGGCAAATGGATTCCTCCTAAATTTCACACCTTACACTGGTGTGACTCCTTGTGTGACTAAGGAAAGCTCACATGAGCATGGACACACACACGCTGCAGCAGTGCTAATATGGAAGCGGCCAAACTCCTTAGCAAATTTCCATATACAGATTACTTAGTCTTACATGGAGTCCTATGCCAAGTGGTAACCACTATAGCTGAGGAATTCTCCCATAATACAGTTCCTGGAAAGAAGAGCAACTGGAGGCTAAGCCATCATCCATGTACAATCCCTTACTACAGCATAAATTCCCAGGCCAATACACAGCACAAAGCACTTTTAATCAGAGACTGGGAACAAATAAGAAAAGTACTAACGAGTCCCAAATTAAAACAAAAATGAACAGCTTATTTCCTTTAGCTAAGTTTTACTTTCTTTTTGAAGTTCAGAAAAATAAGTATGTTCCCGCCATTTAGATAGTGTAGCCACAGGAATACGGTAAATATATGTTTAATTTTTGTCTTTCTTTTCTGTTCTTATACACACAAAGAATTACTCACATCTTCTATTGTGAAGTCCCTTATTGTCCATTCTGCAAGGACAATCTCTGAAGTCATTGTTACAGTAATATCACCATAACTCATGGGTTGTTTGTCTGCCCAATACTGCTCACACTTTGTCTAAGAAGAAAATTAAAGTTATTTGCATTGTATGGTAGCGATACAAGTGATTTTATGGAAAGCAATGAGAAGAGAGAGAGAAGCTTTGCAAGGACATGCTGTCTAATTCTTACCCTAAATTAGAGTCTAGACTGGGGCTGCTGAATAGTCAATCTAGTTTTAAAATAAAATTATCATTATTTTCTTATTGCTTTCTAAAAACCTAAAAAAGTAGTACAATTTACTCACTTATATGGAATATATGATGATTCTAGCTGACGGTGTTTATTGAAGTTATTATTTCATCATTTACTTCTGCTTTAATGTACTGGGAATGCAAAACATTCATAAGGCAATCCCAATTTATTGGGGGGGGTGGGGGGGAGGGAAATGTCATCAGTTAAATTTATACTTAGTGTAACTTTATTGCCCTGTTCCAATATCCTCCTTTAGGCCAGTATAGGTTTATTCTGCTTTGATGTACCTGCTTGATGATATGTTGTGGAATGGTGAAGTACTGTGCCCAGTTTTGAGTACACTTTAAGGAGACAAATTGCAAAGAGTACAAGAAAGAGCAAAAAGAATGATAAGGCATTTGGAAAAACCATGATCTATGAGTAAAGGGTGAAAGGATAGTTAGTTCAGTTTAGAAGTGAGAGGACTTGGGAGGGGACATGCAAAACATCTTCCATTATGTAAAAGATTGTTATAAAGAGGACAATGATCAATTGATTTGCATGTCCACTAGGAGTAGGATAAGTAGCAAATAAAATTTAGATTAGATATTAGCAAAAACTTTTAAAGCATAATGGACAGTGAAGCAGTGGCACAGGCTATGTACAGAGATTCTGGGATCCTTTTTATGGGAGGTTTATAGAATAAGTTAAAAAATTATTGCTTACAGATGGTCTAAGTACACTTGATACTGCCTCAGAAAAGTGGAATTGATTAGAGGACTTCTTTCTAGCCCTGTATGTCCATGCACCAGACCTGGCACCGGTAGTGGAAGTTATACATACATGTCTACCATCCATCCTTCTGTGGTAGACACCAACTCTACCTCAGTGTATTCTGACTCTACCATGAAATAAAGATTCCAGTATATTTGTAATTATGCTTGATCCCCAATTCTTTTTTCTCCAAAATAACCCAAATATGGTGATCTTCTGGGCATAGTACACAAGGAGCCCAGCTGAAAAGATGGCTGGAAAGGGTTTAAGGTGGTCTCCAAACCAAAAGAGGTATGAAAATTTGCAAAATTAATCTCCATTGTTTAATTCTGCAAGGATTATGGTCTTAATAAGCATGAGTTGCAGTTAGAGCCTCGTATTGGTATCCTTTACAGCAAAAAAAAAATCCAAACCAATATTCCTTGGGATACTCAATAATCGTTTTTTTGATTCAGTAAGTGTGCCTCATTACAAATCTAAGATTGACTGAAAATGCAATGCTGAAAACAGCTGTGTCTACTAAAAAACATTTTTTTCTTTCACTTATATAAAAGCTTTGTTTCTACTCCAACTGCAGAGAGGGAGCATTTCTCTGCTTATTTCAGTGGACCTAGATCAGGTCCAAAATGAAAGCTAATATGTTTAAGCAGACGTATTCAAGCAAGTACAACAAACAGTGACCAGAAAAGAAAAAAAAAATGGATGGAAGTTCAGGTTGCTCATGTAGATGCAACTTTGTCTTTTGAGCACTTCTACGGAATGGTGCGATTGCTTAATGAAGTGGACAGGTCATTCTGCACATTACCTCCTCAGACACCGCTAGACTACACTTCTGCATTCAAATCCATCGGAGTAGGTCTGAATCCAGAACTGAAGCCATAGTTTCTAACATTCTGGATAACTGATGTTTCAGTACATTTGCTATATTGTTTACACACTGGTTTATCTGGTCGAGTACATTGCTTCTAACGGGCTATTTCAGATGAAGACTAAAACAGGACTAACTGTACTAAAACCTGATGCATTTATATACATGCTATGGGAGGAGAGTGGGGGAGGAGTGCTTTAATTAGAGTGCTCCAAGAGCTGCTCTAATTAAAGCACCCAGAGCGTCTCATGTATCAGCACTCCCGCCCTGAAAAATGGCAATGGGAACACTTTAACTAAAGCTTGTTGAACGAGTTTTAGTTAAAGTGCCCCTGCTGCCATTTTTCAGTGTGGGGATGCTAATACACATAACGCTGGTCTGCTGGAGCGTGATAATTGCCATGCTTCAGCAAACTCCATCAAGTCTGCTCCAATGCATTTTAATTAGTGTCAGAGCAGCCTCAATTACAGTGTGTCGGAGCAGCCTCGCTGCACGTGCATAGGTACCTTTTGTGTTCAAGACTGAATACAAAGGGCAATTCCTGCTATACCCCAAAAGGCAACAAGAACTTGAAAAGCGTAGGAAATGAACCTTGTGAATACTATACAGCCTTTAAAGATTTCTGGGGTACCAGGATTAAAAGGAAGTATATAAGCATAAATGCATCCTTTTTATTGCTTAGGATTAATTAATATCATCTTAAAAGAATGTGCATTTTTAACAAAAACATACCCTGCCTTGCTCAATGCATTTTGTCAACATAACAATAGCATAAATATTCTTTTCCCAAATCATCCGCCAGAAGTCTTCCAGAGTGTTCGGTAAGGGACCTTGTGCAGCAATAAATTCTTTCCTTAAATTGTATCCCTAAAATAGAAAATATTTTATATATTCTAAAAGTACTCTTAATCATCACACAGGACAAACCTATTTAAAGGTATTGTTTGATTTGTCTAGCTTATATCATAAAATATACCCAATTTTTAATTTTAGTTGCTTTAACAGACTCACGGGCATGTAGTTCGCATTAATATAATCATCAGTTGGATGGCTTTGGGCTGAAAGTTTAACACGAGAAATGTCATCTGCAAAAAAATAAAAGCATGTCTTTTAGGGTTTCAATGTTTTGGCTAAACACCAACCAAAATTGTTTTGAATAAATGCTTCAAATTCAACACATTTTTAAAATGAGAATAGATGGTTATTTTTGGAATCAGAAACAGGTTTTATAATCCTGAGTACATGCAGTGATTATCTGCAGAAGGCAAATGCTCAGCAAAACAGAGTCATTTTCCAGTAACTGAATAAATTAGTTATTTTTAATCGGTTTCAGGGGTACTGATTGTAGCTGTGCTGGTCTAAGGACATAGGCAGACAAGGTTATTTGGATAAATGTGATACCTTTTATTAGACCAACAGAGTAGTTGGAAAAATTGTTCTTTGCAAGCTTTTGGGCACAGGCACCCTTCTTCAGGCATAGGGAAAGTCAATATGGTATGTATACACATATAAATGTAGGTGTTTTTTGAATGCTTGTAGATTTAAAATTTTTAAACCACTAAGAGTTAAGTATTTTTAAAAAAGTATTTTGAGATTATTAACCAGAATCAGTATCACACATATATGTTAGTTTAGAATAAAATAATAAGGAAGCATTTTAATAATTCAATAAACCTGAAGTAAACAGAATAAATCTAGGGATCTTGAGGCACTACATTCAGGTGGTATCATTAACATATATTTTAATGTAATTTAATTTATGTCAAGAATATATATGTATGTGTGCACAAAATCTAATGTAATTTAATTTACAATACACGCATGCACATATATACACAGATGCATACATACACATAGATCTATGTATATCTATATCACATACACACTTTCTGTTGTGGTACTCCTCAAAATTATTTTCCACATAAACATCCAGAGCTCTCTCATTACTCTCTTTTGACTTCCTCCTTCCAATCTCTTCTTCATGATGCCTACAAAAATCTTGGTGGTTCTGAGGGTACTGGTGTGACAAGATCACTGCCCATCTAGCTGATCAATACTGCCACTTTTTCCTGGGTCCATCCCACCTGTTTCTCTCTAGCCATTTATTGTCTCATATACAAAAAATATGTGCAAGGCCATGTAGTACTTCATGAATGAAAAATCAAACTAGATATGGAGAATGTGTGTTTATAAAAAAGATTTGCATGTTCTGTTAATACTATGGCTTTTGGAACACTGCACAATAGTCATCCCAATCCTTTAAATCTTTTTGTTTATTTATTGTAACATTTACATCAGTATCCATCTCTGAAGTACCCAAAACCATTAGTTAACTGAAGTCTTTCAAAACTCAACATAAAATTCAAAAGAAGAAAAAAAAAGAAACAACCAAAAACAACAGGAGGTGACTTACATGGCAATACATTATTATATCTATTCTTTCCTCTATTCTCAGCAAGTTCAGCAGCAAATTTAGGCTGATGGACACCGGCAGGCCTCAGTTCCTGCAGCAAAATAATAACACTAGTTTAAAGACAAGAGACAGGCAGTTAGTGTGGTAGGCAAACAACTGACACATGGTGTCCTTCTAGCAGTAAAAGTATTAAGTCCTGGAGAAGTGGTAATACAGCAAGCCCTTTTAAAAAGACAGTCAAAGGGATAGAGGAGGCAGAAGGGAAAGGAGTAAAATAAGATGACAAAAAGAGTAATAGGATTTGTGTTTCTCACAAATTGTTTTTTGCACTGTCTGTAAAATATACAAGACTGATCATGACTACATGCTTACTCTGGCTTTAACTTGGCAAAGCACTTAAGCACATGCTCAACTTTCCACATGTGTTTACACCTTACTGACTCTATTCCCTGTCTTTGCTGAATTTGGGGTCTCAAAGCTGATCTGTCACTGTCATGTCATACAGTAACTGAATAGAGTGAGGATGCTGCAGGAACAAGAAAATGACCCGATTTCAAAATAAGGCACAGTGGGGAGATGACTTGGAGCTGAAAGGATGAGAAGGAAGGCTGGATGATAACAAGGAAATCATTATAGAAAAGAGGGGAAGTGGAGTGTATGACACGAGAGGACTTGGAGGAAGAAAGAAAACCTGAAAGAAAAGCAGGACAGAGTAGCATCCCTAAAAATAACTTGATACAGGACATAGGAAAGCAGGGCTGGAAGAGACCTCAAGATGGTCATTTACTCCAACCCCCTGGTCACGGCAGGATCATACCTACTAAACCATCCCAGTCAAGTGACTGTCTAACCTGCTCTTAAACATTTCTAGGGATGGAAATTCCACTACTTCTTTAGGTTGTCTATTCCAATGTTTGATCACTCTCATAGGCAAGTATAGACAGTCAAAAAAAAATCCAATGCTGAATCTATTCAATCTTCACAGGCTGGTCTAAGCTGCATACATTTAACTGATAAGCGAGTGAATAGAAATTCACTTTTGATTCTGGAAAGGCAGCCCAGGCCAGAAGTTGGAGGGCACTAGAGCATGCCTCTTTGCTGGGCTGGAGCAGAGAGCTTGGGCCAAGGCTAGCCTGCTCACCCTGTGACAGAGGTTTAGGGGGAGGTGCAAAGCATCCTCAGATGCTGGGGGACCGTGCGTTGACTTGAATCTGGAGGGGATCTGGGACAGAAGTTCAATAAACCTGGATGGATGTAGTACCAGACTTAACTGATTTAGGTTAAATGAGTTTACCTTAAACCAGTTTTGAAAGCAGTTACGTGCACTGAACTTTTCTTGTGTTACAGATTTAAACGGTATCCAATCTTTGGCTTGTGTATAATTTCTGTCCCAACCCGTATTCAAAAAGTTCTTTCTAATCTTCAAACTAAAATTTCCTCTGCTGCAGACTGAGTCCAATGTTCCTAGTCCAGCCTTCTATGGCCATAGAGAAAAGCCTATGTCTATCCTCTCTGTCAATCACCCTTTAGGTATTTAAAGACTGTTAATCTCTATCAGTCTTGTCTTCTCCAAACTAAATAACCCTAGTTCTTTCAGTCTTTCCATATGAATCATGCTTTCCAGGCCAATCATTTTCATAGCCTTCCGCTGGATCCAATCTGTCCACATCTTTCTTGAAATGCAGGGCCAAAACTGGACACACAGTACTCCAGGTGAGCCCTCATCAGTGCTAAAAAGAAGAAAGATCACCATATTTTTTGAAAATCTTTGAAAGAACCACTTTATTCTGTGGCAAGAAACAGGATGACAGTCACTAGAAAAGACTAGGAGGAAAAAGTCTTATCATGCACAAGCCTACAATAGTTCAGTCTCATTTGGCTGTACTGGCAATTGTAGTGTTTTCTACTTTGGCAGTCTTACTAGCAGAGCCATAGCAAGGTAGTTTTACATCCTGGGCAGCAATGGTATACAGAGAAGCAGCCAGGCTAGCAGCAACTGCTATTCTGGTATCCCTCTCTAGTTGGCACTTAGGGCTGCAGCCCGGTTCACATCCTCCTTAGCTACATTATTGTTCTGTGGTTACATTCAGGTCTTAAAGCACTTGATAGAAAAAAATATTTATTTTTTTTGTATCCCAAAACCCCATTAAGTAAGGCAATGATACTAATAACATGCCCAATCTCACACTTCTTTACAAATAGGGAGACTGAAGCACAGAGAGGGTAAGTAGCTTTCTCAAGGCCAGCTATTAACTTTTTGAGCACAACTAGGATAAGAACCTCAAGGTGTCTAATTTCAATGACAACTCTGACCAGCAGACCATATTTCACTCTCAGAGAGATTCAATGCAACAGATCAGGTCATGGATTGCTGCAGATGTACATTCAGTGTCTCTGATACTGGTCACCGCTTTCTCTCAGAGAGGAGCTATTTTCCCTTTGTAATATTCAAAAGTGTACGATTACAATCTGTGATGGCTGATAATACATACTTCATACTCTTCAGCAAATCCACAGTTTGAATCAGCTTGCTGTGTCTTAAAGTAAGACTCAAAGTTTTCAACTTTAATTGGCTTTGACCTAAAATGAATAAAACCCCTTATTAGTATTCATTATTAGTTAAATACAAGATAAATTCAATTCATGACAAATTTATATTTATAAAATGTGAATTACTTACTTCTTAGGTCTTCAGGGAGGGAAAAAGAAAAAAATGGTTAGAGCTGTATTCTTTGCTATGTGACTAACAGTTTTTTTAATTTTTATCCTCCTCAAACTTTGGCCTAAGAAAGGGCATAAGGACACACTGTTCCAACGTTCTGCTCAGGCTGAGTGCACAATGCAAGTCAATTAGGAGTATGCAAAAAGGGGCATATACCATATGCTCCCAAATAAGTTACACACCTTATGCTGGAAAAACAGAATGAAAGAAAAAAGGATGTTTTTCCAGTCATGCCTGAACGTTGACTTCAGGGGATCCTGACTGCAGTGGCTGTGGCCGTGAGAGGGTTAACCCTGTAGCTCTGGCTACAACCCCCTGCTCAAGGCAGGAGTAGCACTGAAGTGTGAACTCTTCCCCCTCCCTCCCTGAAGTGGGCAGAGGAAGAAGCATAGCAGCCATGTTGCAGCAGTGCTTCCCTGCTTCTATTCCAGCAAAAAAAAAAATCAAACGTGAATGAAAGTGTTAGCTTCACTCAAGACATGCACCCCAGTTTTGGAGTACTGTTTTTTGGGGAAAGGGTGTGTATGACATACAACTCAATACAATAATAACCTTTGTGCTTCTCTTCTACTAAGCTGGTCACAGAAGGCCAATAACCCCGGAACTTTTGCTCCCTGCCAAAGACCTCAAAGCTGGGGGTCACTAGGAGGCTTTATCCAGGCTCTTCCCTTGTTAGCAGAATTACAAGAGACAACCTATGATGGCTTTTCACTGTCTGTGGTTTATGGTACACTGCATTTATCCTTCCATGTCCAGCTACAATGGTTTTAATATTACTTACACTGAAGGTTCAGCTCAAAGTAGCCCTACCCCAGGCCATAGGGCAAAATCCTTTTTGAATACAGAAAGGCTACAAATAGGGTTCTTAAACACTGTACCTTATAATCTTGATTGTGTCCATAAAAATAAATAAAGCTGAGATCTGAAAAACTGATAAAGGCACCTACACATCTAAATCTGTTTAATTATAATAGAAAGTGGATGTTCAAATCCTTTTGGCAGCTGTTAGAAGTCTCAGCCTCTTAACTATTTTAGATGGCAGCAGGTTGCATTTGGTTCTCCACAAGGAATCCGAGTATTTAAAGCTGTAATACTCAGCTTATAACATAGTATAACACAAAACTACCAAAGTTCTGAGCAGATATTGCTAATATCGCATAAACTGAGAAATTAACGGGTGAAAGAATATAAACTCACTTAATCTGAGAAAAGGACACATCATTATTTTTTCCATCTTTCCTGTAAAGGGGAGAAAAACCACAAGAGGTTAGTAGAATTTATGCAAAACACATGCATGGTTCTTGGTAGACTCCTTCTATGCCTGGTCAGACCAGTGGCTGCATCTACAGGAGACACTGACTGTGCACTAGCTCATTACTACTAGCATCATTTGGCAGGAAGCATGATGCAACGCTACTGCACAGTCAGTGTCACCTAAAAGCTGTTTGGTGTCACCACCGCCAGTGTCACCTAAAAGCTGGGGCAGCGCAGGGCAGGCAGTGGCGGCAAAGAGACCCCTGGTGCGGCTCTCTGCTCCCTGTGGAACCAAGTCGCGTGGCAGGGCAGCAACATACAGCTGTTCCCCTGCAAGCCCAGCTCTGAAACTGAAATTTTCCGAAACACTTCTGAAACGTTTCAGATGCTTCATTTTGTTTAGGAGATTTTTTGGAGCCTCCTGTTTCAATTCAGATTCAATGTTTTGGGTGCCCAAATGGCCTGAAACACCTCCAAAATGAAACGGCTGCCGAAATTTCACACAGCCCTACTAAATGGCTGTGCAGTAACAACTGTGCAGTCAGCATCTCACGTAGACGCAGCCAGTTTCCTGTATAGCATCTAGTCCGGTGTAAGGAGACCTTCCTGAGACTAACTTTATGCCTGACACTTACAGTAGGCATTAAAATAAGTAGCAGGAAATATGACCATGAATGAATCCCCTCTCCCCCCCACACTTTTGGGTGCATAGTGGTGTCCAAGGCCTGAATGTGTAGCTGACCTAAACCCATGACTAGAGGGACTTGATTGAGGCGGCCAACGAGCTTCTTTGCCATGTAGATGATCAAGAAGGAAATACAATGCCACCCCTGGTTTAAGTGTGGCATTTTAAATTCCACCCCCTGTGGAATTTTATCCCAGTTTGGAATCAGGGTAAATTACATAAATTACATAAGTACAAATTATAGATTCATAGATTATAGAGTCAGAAGGGACCCAATGGATCATCATGTCCGACTCCCTGCCCCGGCAGGAAAGAGGACCGAGGTCAGATGACCCCAGCCAGGTGACTGTCAAGCCTCCTCTTGAAGACCTTCAAGTTAGGTGATAGTACCACCCCTCTTGGAAAGCCATTCCAGACTCTGGCCACCCTTACTGTAAAAAAAAAATTCTTCCTAATGTCTAACCTAAATCTACCCTCCACTAGTTTGCACCCATTATTCCTAGATTGAAAGTTTCGAACTCCCATCATGCTGACCAGTGCCTTGTTCCCTTATACTAACCCCCTCTATCCACTGTAGCTTGCTTCTTCGTAACTTGAATTCTAAGCTCTTTGGTTCAGAGACAGTCTTTATGTTGCACTGGTATAAATTAAAATCTCAATATAGACAAGGCCCCAGAAACACTGTTAACAGCATTTAAATCAAAGTCAACTGCATTAGAAGTTTATTCAGGGAGTTTAAGCCCTGGCTGAATGACTTTAAAAAAAAAGGATCATCACATCTACAAAAGCAGCTGTCCCCTAGGCTTTTCCACTTAGGAAGCAACCATCGGCCATAGATGGAAACTGGTAGAAGGGAACAGCAACTAGACAAAGAAAGAGTTCTAAATTAAGAGACAGTGCAAAAATCACATAGAGATGTTTTCCAAGTGAATAAGGTAAAAGAATAAGCTGTAGTAAGTGTCTGGTAATGTTTATGGTACTGTTAGAATGATGTTGTAGCTGCAATGGTCCATGAATTGAGAGAGGCAAGAAGTATTTTTTATTTTTATTTTTTTTGCCGGGGGGAGGTGGAGTGGAATATCTTGCACTGGACCAACTGCATGGCTGGAATAAAAAAGTTAGACAAGCTTTCAAATGCAGACATGATAAAGAATATTTTGCTTTCAAAAGCCTGTCTAACTTTATTCCAGCCATGCAGTTGAGCCAATACAAGATATGGCCCCTCCAGAATCCTTGTCTTCGGAAACTTTTAGTAGCTTTTTAAAATTGATGCTGCACAGTATTTAACTTGTAACAGCCCTTAAGTCCAAGTTGCCTAGAAAAGACCAGAACTGTGAACCACTATGAACATATCTCAGGTATCTACAGGAGCAGTGTCAAGGGATTATTTTCAGATAACATAACATCTGAAAGCTTGTCTGTCTGCTACATCATCTCTACTAAGCCTTACTATTACCTCTAGAAAATAAATTTCACATCAGAACTTGTGTTCTAGTATAATACTACAAAGCACTGCCTGTCAAGAAGAAAAGGCTTTACTGGATATCTTCAAACAAAATCAGATTAATAGTTGAATATATTAAAATACTAGTTACAAGCATGTCCTGTACCACTGTAGGTATGTGACATTTAAAAATAATGGCCTGATTCTAATCAGTTACATTAACACCCGTGTGTACATTCACAACGGTGACCAGAATAGATAATGGACCGGTGATATATAGTCATGCTAACGGTTATTTTCTCAAACTACCTACCAAGTTTGATGGAACCACTTTGAGTTGCTATCATATACATACAAATTTTCAATAAATAGAACAGCAGTTCCATTCTTTCTGAGATTGTAAGTGTTGGGGTCATGATCCCTAGTTTGGGGGACTCCTGAGATGCACTGTATTTTAAAATATCACTTTAAAAAAGTGTATGAACAGGAATCTTGGTCATTGTTATGCTTTAGTACATTAACACTGAACTACTACTGCCCTTTCAAAAAGCCAATGTTATTACTAACATCTTACCTTCTCCTTCTCCAGAAAACAAAGACCACTACAAGAAGTACAGCCGAGACACACAAAATAGAACCAAGAACAGCTCCAACAATGACGCCTTACAGAAAGATAAAAATAGAACAAGTGCTCATTAGTTAGCTACCATGTCAATAATGAGTTAACAAAATTAAAAGACTAGAGATTCTACTACAGAGGTAGACAGCCCTCAGTACGGGCACCAAAGCATGGCACATGAAAGCATTTTGCTTGGCACATGTGCCTCAGGGCGGATGATGGGGAAGGGGCCTGGGTTATGCTGCCACAACAAGATTCGGGCCCCTCACAGCTCCTCTGCCATCCGCCCCTGGTATTAAAACATCTTACAAGTTGAGGTTCCAGGTGTTTTTGACACTCTGCCCAAAACCCATTGCCAACCCCTGATCTACTATGAATTTCAAGAAAAGTTGGAAAAGATATACTTTGAGATTTTAGAACACCAGTTATCCATGTCTGTCCAAAGACTCAAAAGGAAGTGATAATCATTCATTTCTACTCCAAGTCCAGTTATCAATAAAACACAGAGTAACAAATGGGAAGCTAGTATGTTCTAAATTAAGAGAGAGTGCAAAAATCACGTAGAGATGTTTTCCAAGTGAATAAGGTAAAATAATTTTACATCAGCTGAGGATGTAAATAGGGATAATAAGAACAAGTGCAAAGTCCTGCACTTAGGATGGAACAATCCCATGCACCAGGACAGGCTGGGGACTGACTGGCTGGGCCGCAGCTCTGCAGAAAAGGACCTGGGGTTTACAGTGAACAATACGATGAACATAAGTCAGCAGCATGCCCCTGGGGTCAAGAAGGCTGCATTGGTAAGAGTGCTCCCAGCAGATCAAGGGAAGTGATTATTCCCCTCTATTCAGCACTGGTAAGGCCACATCTAGAGTACCATGTTCAGTTTTGGGGCCCCCCCCTGACAGAAAAGATGTGGACAAATGGGAGAGAGCCTAGTGGAGGGCAATGAAAATGGTTCAGGGACAGGGGCACATGACTTCTGAGAAGAGACTGAGGGATCTGGGCTTATTTAGTCCAGATTAGAGAAGACTGAGGGGGGATTTAATAGCAGCCTTCAACTACCAGAAGGGTGGTTGCCAAAGAGGACAGAGCTAAACTGTTCCCAGTGGTGGCAGATGACAGAACAAGGAGCAGTGGTCTCAAGTTGCAGCAAGGGAAGTTTAGGTTAGGTTAGATATTAGAAAAAACTCTCTCAAGAGAACAGTAATAAAGCACTGGAACAGGTTACTCAGTGGTTATGAAAGCTCCATCCTTGAAGGTTTTTAAGGTCCGGCTAGACAAAGCCCTGGCTGGGATGATCTAGTTGGGGCTGGTCCTACTTTGAGCAGGGAGTTGGATGAGATGACCTCCTGAGGTCCCTTCCAACCCTCATTTTCTATGATTCTGTGACCTGACCCATTTTTCTTTAATCATAGAATTCTCAGACTCAGGGCTTCATTTTTGGTCCTGGATTTCAACTCCAAGTGAAAATGTGTACCATCCATTGTACTAAAGGAGCTAATCAGATAGTCTGAGGTGTGTACCTTACCTCAGGTTCAGATTGAAATAATTTCACAGACTGTGCCCAGAAAAAGGAAGAACAGTTCTGAGCTTAAGCAAAAATATGTAAGAAAACATTATTACTAATGCAAACCAAGATTTATATATGCTAAAAACTGCCCTTACAGAATGGGCAGACTTCTAGTGCACCAAGAACTAAAAAAGTAGTGTTTCTGTACCATCTCTCAGCTAAAATTGTAGTTGCATTCTAATTGAGTACTGGGACCCAAGAGACAGTAGGTCTCAATCCATCTATATCATTTTATGCTTTAGTATCGGTGTTGAAAAATCTGTAAAATAATATCCCTGTGAGGAAGATTCCTCACAAGATCCCTGTGAGGAATCCCTATAAGCAAGCATAGAAAAAGTAAGGCTAGAAGGGACCACAGGAGTTCATCTAGTCCAACCTCCTGCTCAAGGCAGGATCTTTCCTATCCAAACCATCCCATACAAGCGCATGTCTAACCTGTTCTTAAAGCTGAACACAGGGCCTGTCACACAACTACCAGGCACACTGCCACAAAACACAACCCCCCTAATTTGCTACAGGTAAAGTAGGTGGACAAGAGCGCTGTCAATGTCCTGCCACTGCAGGACAGGAAATGATTGTTAAAATATATTTGAGATCCAAAAAAATGACAAGGAATAAACAAGAATTTATGTGGAATTGATGAACTGTATTAAGATCAACTACATTACAAAACAGACCCTGTCCTCTCTACATTGAAATCAGAAAGTGTTTTCCTAAACACATCTAGACCAAATATTTAGGATATAGTCAGTCCACTATTTTATTTTAGCAGTACCTGGATCCTGGGGTACTCGAAAGGGTTCAGAATAAGGTGTGAATGATACGTAGCTCCTCTCTTCAACAATAGGTCCAGTTTTATTATTGGCATACGTAATGTCAGTGAAACCTGCAACAGAAGTCCTGGGGAGAGGGGAAAGAAATGTAATAGTTGTATTAGATTATATTAACCACTCAATCCTAGCAAGCAATATTTATGATCTCATGATCAGATAACTATTTAGACTTCATATGTATACAAGGGAAATAAAATAATGAATTGAAATAAATACCTGTATAAACCAAGGGGCTCCAGTGGTCCATTGTAATAAGCATGTGTGGTGTTTGCATTTCCTACTACAACTGTGTAAGGCTGACTTCTGGAGGTTGAGAGAGAAGCCCTTGTATGTTCAATGTTCATAACATATGTTACATAAGTATGTGTTTTCTTTGTCTTGAAGTCATGGTATGTCAAGTTCAGGTTATATTTTGAAGGCTGGTTATCTTATGAAAGACAAGAGACAACATATACATCAAGTATTACATTTCTGTAAAAACAACATAACTGAGAGGGCAACTGTAGTAAAATATTGAATAAGATTCCGACTATTCCTAGGGTACTGCCTAAAATTAAAGTCTGAGAACACTTAACTCTTTTTACTGTAAAGCAATTTATTTTAACTGCTTTTGCTCCCAGAAAAAGTCACTGGCTGCTTTAATATCCTTTTTTTTTTCCAATTGTAATGTGTGTGGCAGATCGGATGTTGCAAACATCAACTAGTCCACAAAAGGCACGTCATAATGAAATTGTCCATACAGAGAATCCAGTGATTTACTAGACAGATTGTCAGGTTAGAACAAGAACTCGAGAAAGCATTTGAACAAGCATAGTGTGTTGAAACCATTCAGACTGTTCTGAAAGGGGCAAAATGAGTTTGGTAATGTGTCAGCTAATCAAGATTAAACCTGAAGTGTCCCCATAATCAGCCAACAGGATGTTCATCACAACCTGTGCCTAGTTTATTGCCCACAAAATGGTGTTTCACAATGAGTCAGAACATGATCTTGAGAAGCAGTCTGTTAATAAATAAATAGGACCTTGTTTTCTAGTGAGGACAAGCTCTTAGAGGGCAAGGTCTTCAGCACATAAATCTCAATAGGCAGAATTTTGAGAGCTGTTTTTATCATCTTTATTGGCTGTTGTGAATGATTATAAGCAATGGTCAACATAATACCAAATGGGAGCTTACAGGGAACTAGGCATTTTTTCCCATAAGACTCAGAAGAACTATTTACTGTGACAGATAGACTCCTAATGCTTGATGACAGCAATGCTTTTATGTCATTCAAGCACATTTCAAATCAAATCAAACATCATTTTAATCTAATGATGCAATATTCCAGGGTGAAGTGGTAACACTGAATAAATAAGCCTCATCAAACAGGAAGCCAGATTGTCTAAGTACATTAGGCTATTTCTCCCTGTTCCTGCTCCATGATTCTGTCAAGGAAAGACTAAATCCTAGAATTTTAAGGCAGATTATGGAAATGAGACACGTAAAAACTCTGGGGTATCAAAGCAGTTTGAACTGCTAGCTGTCAGAGACAACTCAACAGCACACAGTTAAAAGCTCAAAGCGTTATGAGGAGGGCATAGCTCACTCCCCACTCATTGCTGTTTTAAAAATGCCCCTCTCCTTATAGAAAATATAGTATTAGTGCAATCTCTAAAAAAGATTACAGACTGGCTACAAAAAGCTGTTTCAGGAGTGAGGTGTAAAGCTGGGCATGTGTATACAACAGAAGTAGATTGTGCTGGATTCTACATTTCTCTGTAAACCAAGGGCAAAGCTCTCATTGACTTTTTAAGATCCTGGGATAAGAGAGAAAAAATTAACACAGTCCCTTGGAAACACACTTTGCTTTGTATTATCGTATTTGAGATACGGATGAAAAACAATAATAAATGAATTACAGTACTGTCCCAAATAACAGAACCCTACCCCAAACGTACTAGTGCAATAAGGTAATAGTATTTGGAAGTTAAGTAGCCGTGTTGTTATTAACTGTACCATATTATTAACTGACCCATGCCTTTTCCTAATTTTTCCCTTTGCAGTAAAGCATAAATCTGAAGTTGAAAAATTTGGCTATATTTCAGTTTCATCAATCACACTTAGAAAAATCTGTTTCCTTGGCTGTGTGTCAAAAAAGGGAGAACAGACTTCAAATATAATCCTGATTTGATGTTACTAGTTAGAAATGTATGAAAAAAAATTCAAACATGTTGATAAGACACCATGTTAAAACAGCAATTTTGGAACAGTTGATTAACACAGACTGTAAATAATGGAATCCAAGAAGCTATTCCAGTACCATTGCTAATATAACAATCAGTGTTGCACAACTGAATACAGCTACATTACCACTCTCTGCAGAACATGTATTTAAACAAAAATAGAGAGGGAAGAGCTACACCCAAACTGCTGGGAAATGCATGCTCACTGTTAAAACAAAAAACAATAAGTAGAAGGATCATTATCCTGGATAAGGAAGTCAGTAGAAACCTTGCACATGGGAAATGTACTGCATAGGCTGCCTTTCTTTAAGCTTTTTCAGGACTGAAACAAGATTTTAATTGACATCAAATTGCAAAGAACCACCTCCCCAATTTTCTGAATTAACACTGTAGCTATTCATTTAAATGATTTTCTTTGGTTTGACCTTTTAAAGAGGTTTGTAGCAATCTCTAGCAGGTTGCTTATATTCAGCATTCCTGAGCATGACACCAACAATGCTATTCCTGCATTTCATCCATAAAGATAACCCACCCATGGTTAACAAATTTAAAATTGGAGAGGAGTCCTATTTATTTATTTACTTTTATATTTGATTATAATATTTTGGGAAGGGGGTTGGTGGTGACGGGAAGAAAGAGACAAAACATTCCAAGTTCAGAAGTTTTTTACTAGTCCCTAAAATCGTTCTATAAAAAACAAATGACACCATGCACTTTTGTGGCTGGGGTTACAGGCACACCAATATGGAAGTGGCGCACACAGCACTGTGGCAACCTGCTCTTGTGAGAAGCCTGAATGAGCTGGAATATTTTAGGCAGAAGCTCAACTGTAGCCTTATGAAATTAGTAAGAGTTGTGACATTGTTTGGGGCCACCACTTCACTCTAAGTTTTTGAATTGTGACTGCAAGTATTAGGGGTAACTTCCCCTCTCTATTTACCATCTGTTAGGACTGTAAAATAATGCGCAAAGCTACGAGTTCATTTAAAAAAAAAAAAAAAAAAAGTCTATGCTGTTGGATACACACATGATGATGTCCGATTTTCAGAAGCACACACCTGGGAGGTTATAGCATCACCTCAGAACAGTGTAACAATGTCATCTTACCATTAGCAGTTGTGATTAGGACTGCATAGGCCTTTAAGGGTCCATGTTCAGACTTAAACGGACTAAACTGAACTTTAAACGAGTTGTGATCAATTCCTGTAATTGCAGGGGGTGCACTTGGAGCAGGAGGGTCTAGAAGCAGAGAAAATATCAATTAGACTCTTACTGCAAATTAAAGAGAAAGAAGTTTGCTATGGAGAAAGCATGATATGCTGAAAAGTCTATTTTCTCCAAATGCCCTGAAAAAATGTTAAAGAGAAAGCCTACCATTTTCTATGGTCTCATATTACTGCAACTTGTCTATAGGGCACAACCCCCCATCATTCAGCGCATTTCAGTGGCACTTAAAGGGCATACACAAGATGTGCCGTACTTACCTAAATCCAAGACAACCCAGAATTTAAGTTGACTCCCCCAATAATTAGATTCTATATATAAAAAAATATAAATTTGTTATGATGTTCTATCTATAGAATCTAATTATTGGAGTATCATCTTACATTCATCCGTACCACCACTGCAATGGGAAAAGCAACGTCAGGGGGGCAGGTGGTGAGGGAGGCAGTAGATGGGCAGACAGCTTGTCCCCCACCACCTGCCTCCCCTTGTGCCTGCCCCTCCCTCACCCCACAGCTTCAGGCCCTTGCCTTTCCTTCTCCCCTCCATCTCCAAACCATGCCACTTCTGCTCCCCCCCTGCAGTCTCAGGTCCCCCAGCCTTGCCTTCACCCCACTCCCACTCTGACATCCTCTACTCCTCCAACAGAGCTTCCCCTACCCTCCCTGCTGCTTACCCTTGCTCTGTGCTGGCAAGCTCTGTCCTCACTCCAACTGGGGGTGTGGAGCATGGCCACAGCCCAACCCCATTCCAGTGGTGGTAGGGGGCAGATAGGGGCCCAAGGCTGCAGGTGGGAGGGAAGAGGCATAGAGTGCAGAGGTGGCAGGGATGGTGGGTTGGGGCAGAGCACAGCTGAAGCAGCTGCCTGACCCCTGCCCCACCCACCCTATCTCCTACTCAGTACTAAGATGAGGACCTTTTCCCACCACCTCAACGGGAGAAAACCTTGCTTTGAAATCCAGTAAATACAGTATTATTCTTGTGCTTTAACAAGCTTGAAAATGTGATGAAAAACTGGTGGATAGATGATATACAATGCTATAGTTCCACAAATCAAAATCAGAAATAACCCTAGATGAAACAGGAATAACTCTGAAGTATTTTTTTTATAGAAGACTCTGGGGAATAGCAACTGAGATATGCTGACATCTCTGCTCACTGAACCCTCAGCTAAGGACTGTCACAAAAATATGGGCTCCAACAAATCTTGATACTATTCTTCTGGGTGCAGGTAGTATGGCTTTACATTACCGATAGACTACAAATTAAAACAGTTTCAAATAAAAATGCAAGAGGGAAGGATTTCTTAGGGTATTATCTTTCATTGCACCAACTGTATGGTTGAGATAAAGTTACACAACCTTTCAGATGCAAGACATTCTTCATCAGGTCCCTGATCCCAAACGCAGCCTGCAGGTCACTGACGAAAAATGTCTTGCATTCAAAATCTTGCCTAACCCTATCCCAATACGCAATGAAAAATATCACCCGAAGAAATTCTGGCCACTCTCAATTTCTGGACCATCATGAACATCAGTTTTATATTTCAAATGAAAGTGAGATTTGAAGTGCTTTAAATGTACTTCTGTCAATACTCCAGCAGGGGAGCTTTAAAAATCTAACCAAGCAAACATATATAGTGTCCATGCAGATAAAAAATGATGCATGAGAAAGTGAAAGGGGCAAGGATTTGTGTGGTTGATAATTTTTGGGGGGATATTATTGGGATAGATGAGCTTTCAATTGCAATGCATTTCTATGGACTGCCAATAAAAGATACTACCCATCAAAATCCTTGCCCCTCAAACTATTCCTGGACCATCATGGCTATGACTTCACTCCAATGCTCTATAAGAAAAAGAATGCCCATAATACAGATATTAGTTCTATACCAGGGGTGGGCCAAATATGGCCCACTAGGCCCACTATGTTTGGCCCACAGGGCCCCTAAAAAATTTAGAAAATTAATATTTATCTGCCCCTGGCTGCTTGTCAAAGATGACAGGAGCCAAGAGCAGTAGGACCCAGAGGAAGCCATGGCAGGACCCCAGAACAGCAAGGCCCGCCCAGCCCTGCCCCCACAGCTGGAAGCCCTTGCCTGGCACAGGCTTCCGGCCTGGGACTGTGGGACTGTTCATGCCTCCCTGTGCCAGTGCGGGAAATTCAGGTAAGAACGGAGGCCAGGGAGGGAGAACAGGGAGGCAAGGGAGGCCCAAGTGACTGCCCCAGTCCTGAGGGCCGGGCCAGCCTCTGCTGAGTCCCCAGGTCTGGCCATACAACTGGGAGCCACGTGATGTCGGAGTGGGAGGCAGGCAGGAAAGTGGGAAAAGCAGTGGTGGGGGGCAGGGGACAGTGGAAGAGTGTGGCATGCAGGAGTGCAGGGCCCACACCTGTGTCCCAGAGCCAGCATTGGCAGGGCCCAGAGTGGGGAGGCAGGAGTGTGGGGCATGGGCTGGCAGGGGTCTATGGAGCTGGGCTGGGTTGTGCCAGCAGGTAGAGGGGGGAGGCTGACCCAGCTCTATCGAACCCCTGCCGGCTGGGACCCTGGGCTCCTGCTGCCCTACTTTGGGCCTCGCCAGCGCTGGCCCGGGACACAGGTGCAGGCCCCGCACTCTCACTCAGCTGTCGCTGGCTCCCATGCACCTACTCGCTCTTAGTTCCCCCTGCCCCAGCCCCACAGTACAGGCAGGGATGAGCACACGCAGCCCCAACCCCACGCTCGCCCATCTGGGCTGAGCAGTGGGTGCATGGAACAAACTGGTGCTCAGTGTGGGGAAAAAAGCAGCTCCTCCTCTTCCCTGTGGCCGGCACTTCCTGGTGCAGCCACCCGGAGGCCACATGGGCCTGTCCTGTGTCTCTGCTGCATCACCGCTGCCTCTGGGCTGCCCCATGGGGCAGCAGTGGCAGTGGAGAGCAGGCAAAGGCAGACCCATGTGGGCTGCAAGTGGCTGCACCAGGGAGCACCGGCAGCGGGAGACAGAGGGGCCGTTTTTCTCCCATGCTGAGCTCCGCCACGCCACTTGTGAGCTGCTCAGTGCAGGTACTCCACACAGCCACCTCTGCTGCGCTGGGCAGCACAGAAGTGGTGGTGAAGGAGCCACACGGCAGCCTAGCATGGCACGGGCTCTGGGTGACTGCAGCAAACACTGCCTGGCAGCAGCAAGGACAGCGGTCACTTTCTTAGGCCCCGAGCAGCAGTTTGCACCCAGCTGCTGCTGCCACTCAACACTGATGGGCAAGTGCGGAGCCAGTGCAGGTCCCAGGCTGAGCAGCAGGGGCACAGAACAAACTTCTGCTCAGCGCTGGAGAAAAGCGGCCCCTCCCCATCCAGCTGCCAGCACTCCCTGGTGCAGTCACTTGCAGCCCACACAGGCAGTCTGTGCCTGCTCTCTGCTGCCAGTGCTGCCCCAAAGGGCACCCCAGAGGCAGCAGTGACATGGTGGAGACACAGAACAGCTCCACGTGGCTGCACCAAGAAGCTCCAGCCACGGGGATGGGGAGGGGCCACTTTTCTCCTACACTGGGCAGCAGTTTGTTCTGTGCCCCCGCTGCTCATCCTATACGGGCGAGCGCAGGGTTGGGCAGGGCTGCGTGCACTTGTACCGTGGGGCTGGTGTGGGGAGGGATTGGGAACGAGCAGGTACGTGGAAGCCAGTGACAACTGGGTGGGAGCACAGGGCCCATGCTCATGACCCGGGCCAGCACCCGCAAACCCAGAGCAGGGCGGCAGGAGCACGGGATCCCAGCCAGCGGGAGTTCTATGAAGCCAAGTGGGTTCCCTTCTTTCCCTGCTGACAGAGCCCAGCTCCACTCCACAGACCCCTGCCAGCCCATGCCCCGCACTCCTGCCATCCCACTCTGGGCTCTGCCAGCACTGGCCCTGGGACACCAGTGTATGTCCCACGCTTCTGTTCGCTTCACCTCCCCCCCGGCCACCACTTTCCTGCTCACCCTCTGGCCACTCTGCACCATGCTCCCATGCCCACACACACACACACACACACACACACACAAACCCCCATACCCACCCACCCACAGCTCCCTACAAACCTCATAGCTACCCACCCATACATACTTCCCCCACCAACCCTGCACACCCAACAAAATACAAATAAGATTGCATTTTAAGCTATTATGCAATCACTTCTACATCTACAGCACAAATGCACACAAATCAGGACAATTTTTTTTTTAATTAAATGAAAATATATTATTATGGGTGTTTGATTTTTAGCATATAATTTGGGTTTTTCTCCCCTAAAGAGTATTTCCAGGGGCAAGGGGAGGGATTCTTGTGGCAAAGGTCAGAGGTTAGGGGGTCCCAAGACAGCAGCCAGGGGTGGGGCCTATGGGTGTTTGATTTTTAGCATATAATTTGGGTTTTTCTCCCCTAAAGAGTATTTCCAGGGGCAAGGGGAGGGATTCTTGTGGCAAAGGTCAGAGGTTAGGGGGTCCCAAGACAGCAGCCAGGGGTGGGGCCTCTCATGCAGCCCTCGACAGCTTGCCAAAACTTGGTAAGTGGCCCTCTGCCAGAAATAATTGCCCGTTCCTGTTATATACACTTCTTTTGTGGCTCTCATGGGATTTGTAGGG